CTCGCGCGCGCGCACACACACACTCACGCGCACACACACACACACACACACACACACACACACACACTCACGCGCACACACGCACTGACACACACACACGCACACACACACTCACGCACTCACACGCGCACGCGCACACTCACACACACTCACGCACACACACGCACACACACAGGTTTGTTTTTGTGAAAAGTGGGGACATCCCATAGGCGTAATGGTTTTTATACTGTACAGACCGTATATTCTATTGCCCTACACCAACCCTACCCCTAAACCTACCCCTCACAGGAAACTTTGTGCTGTTTCAGATTTTCAATACACTCCATTCTGTGTGATTTATAAGCGTTTTGAAAAGTGGGGACATGGGGTAATGTCCTGAAAAGTCACCTTCTCCTTGTAATACCTATGTCATACCTTTGTCATTATACAAATTTATGTCCTCATTTGTCACAAAAACGCGCACACACAGACACACACACACACAGACAAGGCCAGTTCATGTGTTTGATTTCAGACGCTGCAGTAAGTGAAAGTGTTTCACAGACAGAAGAATGTCAGTCAATCAATCTGCTGATGCTGGAGCTGCTTGTGTCTTCAAACTCAACCTGTCTGTGCTCATTTCTACCGCAGTAAAAGACCAGGCCTCTGGCTACGGTTCACATTCTCACCTCACATATAAGCCATTAGATCTCAGCTGTATTCACACATTTCACGCATCGTTCTTTAATGAATGGAGTAGAATTTGGTGTACTTTTTTGTGGCATTATTATCAGTAGTAGCAGCTGTAGTATTAAAATTAAGAGGCTCACAAGAGGCTCCAGGACAACCTGAGAATTACATGAACATAATACAATTTCATGAATTACATTTTATGCATATTTCTCATTTATGCGTCGAAAACATATTTTTACTACATTTTAACATAAAAATGCCTATTGCAGTGATGCATATTTTCAGATGATCAGGATGAAATAATTGTAGATATTAACCAGAAGACTTTTTGAAGTGCATTGTGTTTGTTCATCGGTCCGTGCTCTCGTTCTGTTGTTGAAGGCTTGTTTGCATGAGTGATGGCAGGTGTGTTTCCATAGAGGCTCACTAGGCTGGATCAGAGCAGAAACCAGTTCTGCCGGTGTCAGTGTGTCTTCAGTCAAATCCACTCTGTTCACACTCCGTCAGATGAAGTGTGCTGACGTCGGCTGTGTGTATGAGTTGGTCTCAGTCTGTCTGATGGAAAGCTTTCTGTCAGTGAGGGTTGAAGCAGGACAGTGAGTTTCTCTGGAGAAAGTATCTCAGGTAACGTCTGGAAGCTTGACAGAGTTCTTTTTTTCACAAATAGAGGTTTGTTTGGTTTTTGAGGGTTGTTCTGTTGCTGACGACTCGTCTCTGAACTTTTGCTTTGTCTGTAGCGTTAAGCTTGTACTTGTTTGATTTTTATTTTTTTTAAAGCATCTGTGAGAAAAGTACTTATTTCAGAAACAATAGCAGTCAAATTACTTCTCATAATAATTCTAGGACGGTAGTAACATTAGTGGTTTAATTTACTGAAATTATACAATATTGTTTATTATACTATAATAGTATATAACTTTTTTTTTTCAACAAAAATCTTTAAAAAATCAGTTTCAAGACTTCATCTAATCTCTGCCTGTAAATATGAATATGAAATGATTTCTGCTTCTGATATTTGATAAAGTGAATTTTCTGGGATTTGCTGATGGCTGCTGTATAAAGTCGCTCCTGTTGTTCTTTCAGAAAGCAGATATCATATTCAAACTATTGTGAAAGTGTTTTCAATATTTCAGTTTCATTTTACACAGAGTAACATGAGATCTGTGACATTCACTGTCACTTATTCTGTGCAATGAAATAAATCAGCTCTGTGGCAGGTGAAGATGTGCGGTTGTGTGCGATTAAATCATGACGGGTCTGTTTTTGTCGGCTCTTATGTGTGTGTTTGTGTGCAGGTATCATCTGGACATCAGTGGAAGCGCAGCAAAGCCCAAGAACAGCATGCTGAGAAGATCTTCAGACAGCAGAGGCTTCCAGAGTCCAGACGAGACGCATCTGGAGTTCCTGGAGCACAGCGGCAGCGTCTCACGCAGGTGAGGCTTGCAGATGAACCTTCAGAGACTCATCGCTTCTTAAGAAGTTCAATGACTCATTTAATCAGACTCGCAAAACTGTATAAGCGGAGAGACGTCAGCTCCTCACACCTGTGTGTCCTGATCTCCATCAGATCCATGACTATAGAGGAGGAGGCTGGATCCGGCGTTCGTAATGTGAGTTTATTCTTCAGTGAGCTCCGTCCATCAACACTTACACACCATCACCTTCTGTTCTTTTGATCAGAGCTTCAAGAGCCACAACAAAACCTTCCACAAACTCTTCCCTGAGGTCCCCGAGACGGAGGATCTGGAACACGGTGAGTCTCTCCGAGATCTCTAGTTATTTCTCACAGTCTGTAATGAGAGTAAATGAAGTCTTGTGTTTCTCAGATGTGTCTCCTCTAGCGTACCAGAAGAGATCTCAATGATGTCTCGAACTGTGTTCAGCTCAGAACGTTCTGGCGAGGTTCTCTCAAAGTTACGAACAAACGTTCTTCCAGGAGCATTAATAAAACATTCGTTCTGAGTTATCATGATGCTCTCAAAATGTCAGCACAGAATCGTTCGTGGAAAGTGTTTTAGTTCAAAAGTAACGTTCTGGTAATGTTTGAAAATGATGAAATTAAATATTCCCTTAACATTCAGAAATAATGCTTCCATAGCTTTAGAAAAACGCTCTTAGAAGCGATCTCAAACGTTTCTCTTTATAGCTATATTCTCACTGAACTACTGACACTATTGTTTTCTGTTGAGCTGAAATCGAGTTGGTTTTATACTTGAAGTTTACAATATTAACACCGTTTTTTCATGTTTATTGTGAAGCTGCTTTGAAACGACACTGTAAAACGTGACATGATCAATAAGTCATGCTAGCATGTTTTTCCACTACTTAAATAACTAAAGGTATATGAGATTCAGCTCAGTTTTGTACAGATGTATACAGCCAGTTTGATGACACATTGAAGTAGGTGGAAATAGTATAAAGCTCTATAGAAGTGAAGCAGGACTCTGATGTTATCGTGCTGTTTCAGTGCACACCTGCGCCCTGCAGAAGGAGGTGATTTACCACGGTAAGATGTACCTGTCCAGTCAACACATCTGCTTCCACTCGTCTGTGCTGCTGAAGGACACCAAGGTGAGACGATCTGAGCCTCTGTTCACGAATAAATCACTGAAGAACAGTTACAGCATGTAAAGAGATGACAGGACATTTATTATGAAGTGTTTGTGTTCCTGTAGGTGATGATCCACATGTCCAGCGTTCAGAGCATAAAGAAGAAGCACACAGCTAAGATCGTTCCCAACGCCATCGCCGTCATCACCACAGATGGACACAAGGTACCAATCAATCAGAGATGCTTCATAAGTCGCTCCACAGTGAGATGGTGAAGTGTTTCTGAACTGTTTCTCTGATGTTCCTGTGTGTGTGTTTCAGTATCTGTTCGTGTTGTTTCTGAATCGAGAAGCGTGCTTCAAACTGCTGCAGTCGCTCTGTGCACAGCTGCAGGTTTGTGCTCCAAGAGTCAAGCTACTACCAATAATCATTCAATTCCAGTATAACGTCAGTAGTTTAGTGACTGAACTGAGGTTTTCCCTCAATCTGGTGATGGTGTGTCAATGCAAATGCTTAGAAGTCTCAAAGATTGCGTCTTTAAGTGTGTGTTCATCAATGTAAAGCGAGATGTGTTGTGTTTTCTGTCAGATGGAGAGCAGCAGCTGGAAATCCTCCACTCCTGATGTGGAGATCGACACGGTAAGATCACCTGAAGATGCTTTAGAACGAATCATCTGTGTTTTCCTGAACTCTCTCTCTCTCTCTCTCTCTCTCTCTCTCTCTCTCTCTCTCTCTCTCTCAATAAGTCATGCTAGCATGTTTTTCCACTACTTAAATAACTAAAGGTATATGAGATTCAGCTCAGTTTTGTACAGATGTATACAGCCAGTTTGATGACACATTGAAGTAGGTGGAAATAGTATAAAGCTCTATAGAAGTGAAGCAGGACTCTGATGTTATCGTGCTGTTTCAGTGCACACCTGCGCCCTGCAGAAGGAGGTGATTTACCACGGTAAGATGTACCTGTCCAGTCAACACATCTGCTTCCACTCGTCTGTGCTGCTGAAGGACACCAAGGTGAGACGATCTGAGCCTCTGTTCACGAATAAATCACTGAAGAACAGTTACAGCATGTAAAGAGATGACAGGACATTTATTATGAAGTGTTTGTGTTCCTGTAGGTGATGATCCACGTGTCCAGCGTTCAGAGCATAAAGAAGAAGCACACAGCTAAGATCGTTCCCAACGCCATCGCCGTCATCACCACAGATGGACACAAGGTACCAATCAATCAGAGATGCTTCATAAGTCGCTCCACAGTGAGATGGTGAAGTGTTTCTGAACTGTTTCTCTGATGTTCCTGTGTGTGTGTTTCAGTATCTGTTCGTGTTGTTTCTGAATCGAGAAGCGTGCTTCAAACTGCTGCAGTCGCTCTGTGCACAGCTGCAGGTTTGTGCTCCAAGAGTCAAGCTACTACCAATAATCATTCAATTCCAGTATAACGTCAGTAGTTTAGTGACTGAACTGAGGTTTTCCCTCAGTCTGGTGATGGTGTGTCAATGCAAATGCTTAGAAGTCTCAAAGATTGCGTCTTTAAGTGTGTGTTCATCAATGTAAAGCGAGATGTGTTGTGTTTTCTGTCAGATGGAGAGCAGCAGCTGGAAATCCTCCACTCCTGATGTGGAGATCGACACGGTAAGATCACCTGAAGATGCTTTAGAACGAATCATCTGTGTTTTCCTGAACTCTCTCTCTCTCTCTCTCTCTCTCTCTCTCTCTCTCTCTCTCTCTCTCTCTCTCTCTCTCTCTCTCTCTCTCTCTCTCTCTCTCTCTCTCTCTCTCTCTCTCTCTCTCTCTCTCTCTCTCTCTCTCTCTCTCTCTCTCTCTCTCTCTCTCTCTCTCTCTCTCTCTCTCTCTCTCTCTCTCTCTCTCTCTCTCTCTCTCTCTCTCTCTGAATGAAAACACACTCTTTAAATGCATGTCTCTTTTACTCGTACTCTTTTTTCTTGTTTAATAACCCTTGTAATCGAGTGTTCGTGTCCTCTGCCAGATTTCCAGCCAGTCGAGTCTAGAGGAGAATCCTGAGAATCACTCGATTCGTTCGGCAGACGAGAGTCGAGCTCTCCAGCGTGAGTCTGATTCTTCACTTGTGTGTAACACAGTCTGATGAATCAAAGCTGAGCTGTCTACAGTCGACACTGCTGCTGGACGGTGTTGTTTCACATGTTTATCATTCAATAGTTTCACATAAAATGCAGATTGAAGACTGTAAATGAATTGTTATTGTGTTGCAGCAGAAACACGAAGCAGCTCAACGCCACACGATGACCCCAGCAGAGAGATCAGCACGCCGGAGCAACACAGCACAGGTGAGCATCTGTACTTCATAACCTTATTGAAGACCACAAAACTTTCTATTCACGTTAACGTTTGTTCATAACTTTTTGAGAATCTGTGAGTTTGATTCCGCTGGTGTTCTCTGATCTATAGCGGTCTCCTGGGTAACCGTGGTAACAGAGAAGGTCAGCTCCGTTCTGTCGTCCAATGAGACGCAGAGCCTGAACAAACTCCTGCTCTTCTACGTGATGCTGTGAGTATGAGACGATATCAGACGCTCTGAATAACCTCCGAAGCGCTTCTTTCAGCCGAAACGTTCAAACAGAATGAAATCAAGCGATCAAAGGCCAGAACTCTGGGTTCTGCTGCGGCTGAAGTTTCCTGTTCAGCTTCAAAACTCAGTCTCGGCACATTAAAGCGACTGTGAGACGAAAGCAAATGACATTAGTAAAACACATAATGAATTGCAGCCGTTTGCTGTTTGAGCAACAGATACTCCAGGGGTTTGAAAAATGAAGTAAAGCGAATTAAAGATGCGGCGCTTGTGCAAATATCAGACATTTAATGAGTTTCAGCAGCTCGGAAACACACTGGTGTTCAGAGACGCTCATGTCAGATCCTGCTTAGAGCAAGAGTTCAGCCAGAAATGAGAATGTGCTGAAAATGTGTTCATCCTCAGATCATCCCAGATTAAGTTTGTTTCTTCATCAGGTTTGTAGAAATGCAGCATTGCATCAGTGTCTCAGCAATGGATGCTCTGCAGTGAATGGGTGCCGTCAGAATGAGAGTCCAAACAGCTGATAAGTGGCTGGATTCTGATGTGAGAGACAACAGCAGATGAACCTTTTCACTGGCGGAAGAGTTATTATGGATTATGGACTCAATGTATTGGAGTTAAAAACGTCTTAATGCTGGATTTGTTTCAGCTTTTGTCTTCTCCAGATGTTAACTGATGGACTGGAGTGCTGTGGATTACTTGTGGATTATTGTGATGTTTTTATCAGCTGTTTGGACTCTCATTCTGACGGCACCCGTTCACTGCAGCACATTTACAGCACATGTTCATTTTTGGCTGAACTCTTCCTTTAAAGAAAATGAAACGAACAGCTGATGGGAGATCTCATGAGCGCTCACTGAGACGCAGCTGGTATGCAGTTGATCAGGAAAGTAAATGTTATGATCTGATGATCTTCAGAGCACTGGAGGCTGATGGTCACACAGATAGATCTGAACACAACAATCAGTGTCACATAGCACAGTTCTCTGTCCTGTAACCAGCTGAGGTTTGATCAGTCAGAATTTGTTCTGACGGCATGTTTGAGCATCGTGTGTGTTCAGATAAACATCTGATAAATCTGATGTGTTTATGTGTTTAAGGCTGAATTGTGTTGTTTTATGGTTGTTTATGTGTAGTGCGATTCTTCTCCTGTTGTCGTCTGGTTACATCGGTTTGCGGATCATGGCGCTGGAGCAGAAGCTGAGCATTCTGGGATCGATGCCGGAGTTCACAATGCAGACAGAGTGAGTTCACACATTCATCATCTGAATTATAGCTTTACATTCATCAAAACTATACAGCAGTGAGTTCCAGTCCTGCAATCTGATTGGTCAGTCAGTCACTCGCTCCAGAGTGGGTTTCTCTCTCTAGTGAGATCTGGAGCGACTGAATCATCTCGTGAAGTCTTAAACACAATCCATTTTTCCTAGTATTGCAATTATTTTGTCCACCCGTAGGTTTAATACAAAAATGATTCTCTCCATGTTTTAAACTCAAAACTCACAAAATCCATCCAGTCCGTCTTTGCTGGAGTTTCGGACTGCAGTTAAAATAAACCGAGCGGACCAAACGCTGTCTCTCGGTGCATCAGTTCATATCCAAACTGTTCTGTGAATCCTGTCATTGCAGCCAGCTCAGAGAGAGAAGGAAAAGTCTGTGATGGTTTACAGCCGTGACGCTGCTGATTCAGTCTGATGATGATTCGGCTGATTCACGTGTGTTTAATAAGGGAGACTTTTTGGAATTTGTTTAACAAGAATCATTCTAGAACATATAGAAATCACACGAACTGCCAGAACTGGTTGAATTCATGACATACGAGCGATGAGTTTCTGTTGTTATCTGTTCAGATGAACCTGATTGTGTGTCAGAATGCTGCACGCTGATTGGCTGGTGTAACATAACCCCGCCTCCACGTTTCACTGTGTGTGTTACAAGCAGAACGCACCAATGCTGTTGCATTTACAACAATAACTCAACTAATCCTGTTATCATTGGGTTTGGGTGTGTTTCACAAGCATTCTTAATTTTTAAAGACACTAAATGTGTTACATAATGGCCAGATTTGCAACTGAACAGACCAGAGACAAAACCCAAGGGAACTTTCAATTTCTATACTGTTTGTCGTGTGTGTGTGTGTATGTATATGTGTGTGCAGGGCCGTTTCTAGCCTATTTGATGCCCTAGGCGAAATCCCTATTGCCCCCCCCCCCAAATTATATATATATATATAATTCTTTTCATACATTA